TGACGTTAAAGAAATTTGCAATCATAGAGAGCTTAAAAGTTTACGAGTCGGAAATTTTACTCGAATGCAATTAATGTATTTTTCGGAAATGCCTTCAAGGGATCGAATTTATATTGAGCAGGTATTTTTCGTTGCATAACTTACAATCACGTTGATTCAATCAATGTCAAGGGAGACAAGGAGAAAGCAAAGGACAATAAAATATATTTTTGAAATTTATTTGTTTTAAATATTTAACAAACAAAAAATTACAAAGTCAGCATATCAGCTTCGATATTCTGCTTGAATTGATGATTGAGGTTGGTTCCCAAAAATTAAGGAGGTGTATTTCACAAGAAAAAAGACAGGTTTTGGAAAACTCGACAGTTTCAAGGGACGAAAGCTGTGGATGACAGTGAATTGTGACACTGCTGATATGTTCATCAAGTCCTTATCAGCATGACACTCTTAAACCTATACTCAGTTTAGTATTGATTATCCATCGTGAAATGAAACCTCTTTAATGAAAATCCAGGACTACAGATACTACTATGCATGTAAAGTGAATGCTGAGACACTCATCTGGTCGCCACCAAGGCAATATTTTTCTCAGCTGTTTTAAAAGCATGTCTGTCTCTTGATTCTTGAAGACATGGACTTGGATTCTCCGGTTAAAGCTAAGGAAAGTATAAAAACTTACCAACATTTATATTAAATGAAGATAAAAGCTCATTCACTTTTACCCCACTAAAAACAAAAAAACGCAAGAATAAGTTTTAACTCAGACTCAGTTATTAATTTGCATGAGGAAGAAATGTAATTATGGTTACCAATATATCCATAATGCAATGAATATCCTCCCCAGGATGAAACTTTAGGTGGCCAGTTTATGCTAAATTTGGACTCAGGATAACTGTTTAAATTATTGATAACATTGATAGGCCGTACTTCATTGTTCACTTTCGCGACTTTGTAGTTTGTACATTCCACAAAGTTAAAGTCACGCCCAACTCTAGAAATTGGACGTTTTTAGCCTAACGTTGTCTGACTGCTGCCTCTAGGTAATTTGTTATTTTTTACCAGAAAACTATAATAATTTTACCGTTTCGGAATTTCTATGACTTTATTCCGAACTGTAAAGAACATACTCACGAAAGTCTGAGGTATAGAATTTCTCAGTTTCCGGTTGGATGAATAAAACACGGAACATAATTGCAACATTTAATATAATTAAGCTGCTCTTATTTATGTCCGTCAAAAATTGAAATGACATTAAAGTAACGTTGTTGAAAATGTTCATGACGGCAAGATGGTTATTAACGTTTTAGGGAAGAAATACATATCCGTCAAGTCAAATTGAATAATTAATGTTTTGTTTTCATTGCATCTAAAATTCAGAACTGAAAGCAACAAGATTTAGAGACGTGTAAAAATGCAACAGTAAGAGTTATAATAATAAGACGGAATTGAACTAATGTGAGCAAAATATGCAAAAATACCCCTGTTCCTACAGCCCAAGAATGGCGTGAAAAAATAGACAAATCTCACTCTTTTGAACCATGCAAACTTAGTCTAAATAAAAAATGGTTTGAATCACTAACCTGACAGGAATTTTTTTTATATAAATATTTAGGTCTAAGAAGGTAACATTTTTTATTACCTTTTCAATACCACTTTCCCGTAAATTATCAATGAGTAATTTTATTCATTAATTGAATATGTTTCCAAATAGGTATTGGTCTAGGAAGGCGCTTTCAGCTTTGTAATTCATCATAAAATCATCAAATAACTTATAAGTTCTGAGAGGAACCGAACCGTCTCTATTAGTTGGAAAAATTAATTTGTAAATAAATCATTACGACCCGCTACGTATTAATTGCTAGAGAGTACAATACTTATTGAAATATATAATCCATTTCAGCAAGGTAGAATCATTTTCCTCATCTTGATGAAACGCACAGTTTTGAAGGAATTCTGCCGTTTATTAGTTATTCCATTTATGGAATTTCCCATACAAAAATGTAAATGCTTATTGATAAATGTTCTCGCTGAATCGTATTACAAATATATTGAATTGCTTTCAAACCTATTGTAAATACAAGTACTCCTCTCTTTCTAGACTAATATAAATAGGTATAAGAATTTGTTATTCTTTTTCCCCCGCAGGAGGTTTTGGTTTATAAAAAATATATTCTCGATCATTCCAGGGTAAAGAATTTGGTTTATTTTATCTTTCCTGTCGAAATATTACTATCCTGTTCATACAAACAGATGTTAACCAGGCTCAACTCATCAGAGGCAAAAACACGCACCTGAGACTCTACGTGTCACATTAGCACACTTCTTGGCGCGTAATATCACCTATCATGCCCTACAAATTAGGTGTAAACTCGCAAAAAACACAAATCTGTCCAATTCATCTGAAGTTTCACACGGCACGATGACTGTTTGGAAAAATAGATATTCATTTTTTAAACACTCCGTTATTCTAGACTTTTGAAGTCTTTTTTTTATCGCTCTAAATAAAGTTCCTAAAAATCTCAAACATGAACTTTTCATTGATTCATCATCAACCACATTAAGTTGCTCGGGCATCCAAAAAATCACGGACGTAGGAACAATCAAATATTGGAGGCTGATAAACAGCCATCCACATGTTAAAAAATACAAAATTTTGCATATTATCTTTTGTTGGAGTTCAGTAGGTCAGTTGGCATACTAGTACATACGCACATGGTAGATGACGTAACAACCGTTATTTTAAAAAGTATCATCCGAATTGGTTTACATTTTGCAAGAAGGAACCACTATCTCTGGCTCTCCCGTAAAAGCTTACATCTGCATAAAACCAATGACATGTAAGTCGTTTCTAAAACGGGCCACAACTAGTGGTCCTTTTCTGCAAAATATGGTCCAATCAATATTTTACACGCAGACTAAGCATTTACATGAAGTATATTATTTTTCATTGAGTCGGACAAAATGGTTCATGAAGTAAAAAAAATAATATTTAGATAAGAATCTATACCGTAGCTTAAAAGAGTTAGTTATGAATGATTGGGCACAAAAAACACCAAAAAATAAAAACATTAAAAATTGACCCTTTGTGAACATTTCAAAGTTCGAGAATAATAAATCGAGGATTTGGGAAAAATGCAGAGAAAGTTTGCTGGTGTTGATACCCCCTTAGGAAAGGATTCATTTTAAACGTTTGTAACATATTGATGCAAAGCAAATTATGGCTTGAAATCAATTGTGAACGAGGCTCTTGAAGATATCACATAGCGCATAGCACTGAAAATCGATATTGTTTGCCCAGTAGGTAGGGGGGTTTTCTGTCACATCCAGCAATTTGAATTTCCTTTTGAGAGCAAATTTAACCTGATTCCACCAAATTTCACGTTTTGTTCACTATTGCGAGATTATGTGAGCATTAAATCACGATTCTATAACACAAAAAGCTGAAATATATGCCAGGAAAAGCCATGTTTATGCCATGAGACGTTGAAATTCTGTTGAAGTTGACATGATGGTCAGTTCATCAATTATCAGCGGGCCGTTGAATTTTGATGGAAATGAACTGATCGTCATGCCGTGTCCGGTTCACATTAACAAAAATATTGAAAGCGTGATTAAAACTTTCGAGTCAAGTTATTCCGGAATTTCTCACTTCAACACTTCATACGAACTTGACCGAACAAAGCCTGAATCCAAAATACGAATTGAATTAAGTGAATAAAGTAAATGCGTTCACATCAAAATTGTTAGAAAAAATATATGACTATGGCTATCAGTAAACTTTAGCAAATTGTTAATAGGTGATTATTGAAATTACATATTAATTAATTCATTATAATTACAACTCAAATAAAAACTCGGTGAGCTAGCTCGGATTGCTGGGTCAGACATCTTTAATTACGTGCTAAAAGCATATAATTCGTATAAGAAATCATTTCCGTCTCTAAAGCGACTTCTGTTTCAATCTAACTTTTAATGTGAAAATAGTGAGAAATATGTCTCGAGAATTTTCATTTTCAACGGGAACATCAGTGAACTGATTTTACAGTGTTTCGCTTTAACTTTTTCATAACCTTGATTTAACATGTGCGTATTTTATTTCAATACTGAGTTTGTATTCTTCACTTTAATGTTTTTCCTCTAAAATTCTTGAGGAGATATACCAAATTCCCCTTCTTTTATATCATCGCTTATATAAGCATGGTTTGTCTGATTTACTATTTTAGTTACGTAACCTTAAATTTTAAGAAAAGAGTATATACATAGTAATACATCTATAAGGACGGTAAGAAATAAATTAGGACGAAAATAACAAAGATCTTAGGCGAAGTATAACAGTGATTGTAAAAAATAATTTAGATGGATCGGATGTAGAAAACATCTTAAATATAATAGGGACTTGCTAGGCAAAAAATTGAACATTATAAAACAAGAGAGGAACAAACCCAACTCTACCACAAAACGCAATAATCATAATTGGATTCTCCAGTTGGGTGCCTACAATAATTTCACAGCGTAATTTATCAATTATTCAGAAAACTTGAACAAATGGGGCAAGTAAATATCGCAATTCTTCTCACATCTCGAAAGGATGTATTTTTAAGTAAAGAATGATAAAAAATAATCAAAAAGCGCTGCCTATCGGCTGAGCGCTTAATAAATCAAAGGTTTGAGAGTGATCAACGAGCGATCACTGAGAGTTCAGTTTTTCACCATCGTCAAAATCAACCCAAGGATTGGACTGAGATTAAACTGAAATATTTTAACCAGCTGAACCTCTGTTTCTTCAAGAATGTCTCGGAGCCACTTTTTTAAACGTCATTTCGAGTGCACTCTCACACCATGCACTGGGAAAAAAAACCCACATTGGATCTAGAGTCCAGACTCTTAAAAACATCGACAAGAAAAAGTACTCTTGATTCAATCAGAATCTAGCTTAAATCAAGAACCAAGCCTCTTAATTTAAGTGGATTTTGTTTTGATTCAAGCAAAAATCCGATTGAATCAATAGTATTTTTTCTTGTCAATGTTTTCAAGAGCCTGGACTCTAGATCCAATGTTTTTTTTTCCAGTGATGTGCTCTTAATGATGAAGTCATGAATTCTCTCTTTGCTAACCCCGGATGTTTTCTGAACTCAAAGAATCCCAACTATCACAGTGATGGCCTTCCCTCCCTGCACCTGTCGATCCGTAATTGCGTATCCAATTTACAATCCGATGCTAATCACACACCTATAGGCGATGTTTGGACTATTCACAGCCGCGCAAAAATCGCATGTCCCTACTGCAATGAATCGCTGAAAAGATAAAGTACCTAAAACGAGATAGGTATTTCATGAAAACCCGTTTTCCTTCCACAAGTCTGGGCAGAACTACCATTTAATGACTAGGTAATATGTACGCTCCTTCTACAATAAATATATACCGCACGCTCTTTAGTGAACGAAGACGATTGTCTTCAAAGGGCCTAATGGACTTACGAACTGTAACAACCGTAAAAATGAAAGTAAAAATACTCATCGCATCTGTACAAATATGGTACAAACATTTACATCTCATCCTCTCAGCTAGAAAATGCATCGTATAAAAATAACCAATCGCTTTTTTTCTTTAAAAAATTGAGGAAAAAAGATAAAGTTTGGGTTGAGCGGACCGACTAGTTTAGGTCTCTGCTATCGCTTAAGTTATTGGAGATAATAGTTCTGGACAGGAAGGTTTCATCACCGGGCAAGGAAAGTTCGGACTTGAAGCCTTTGCCCATCTGATGCTGCTTTTCAATGCAGTAAAGTTCAGTTTTGTCCTCGACCCGCGGTGCCCCTTTCAGGGGGTTCTGGAAGGGGGACGGAGGCTCCGGCAGGAGCTCCTTGACCAATTGCTTACAGTAGCTGGGACTCATGTCGATGGTGTATTCCGATTGGTTGCCGTAGCTGTAGTCGTTCTGGTAGCTCCCCCGCGAGGACGACGAGCTTTTCGACTTCTCCTTCTCATCGTCCGAGTCGCCGCTCTTCTCGACCAGACTTTGCCCTACGTTGATCTCCGTCGTCACGCTGGCATTCTCTTGATTACTCTTATCGTCGTCGTCGTCATCATCGTCGTCCTCCGAGAAATCGTAGTCGTCTATGTTCGTCACGTTCTCGTACGGCGAGCACCTACAAAAGTAAAGAATCAAGTGAACCATTTTTATCGCATACAATGAGAGCAAAATAACAATGAAGACAATTCAGACAGAGGGGGGGAGTTTTTTTCGGAAAGGAAGGGAGGACAGGAGAACAACCTCACAAAGGGAGGGGCTACGGACACTGCGGGCTCATTATTGAAATTGATAGACTAAGCTATAGACAAAGAAGGCATATGGAGTATTGAGCGATCCTATTGGTTGAAATAGGGGGTTCCCATAGACTAAGGGAGAAAATTATGGACTAACTATAGGGTCTCTCATAGGTTGCCGTTAGTTTGTCTATTACCTACCTCCTTGTTCATTGCAACCACCCTCTTCCACCGATGGGATCCCTGTATGTCCCTTTTGTCTCCTTTGTCTATAGGTTTGTCTATCAGTTTCAATAATCAGCCTGCAGGAAGACACCCCGACAAGGTGCCTAGAGAAATCCCCTTACCTTTGTAGTGTCTGTGAGGGAAAAATCTTGAAAATCGAGAAGTCATAGAATGAATGCTGGTCAAAAAGTGGTAAGACACATGAATAACACTTAAAACTTTAAAACCTTAGTGACTTCAAGACTTCAATGTCAGTACCTTCAAAAGTAAACTAGGTAAAGGCTTTTCCATGGTCTTTTTCAAAAGACAGGCCTGATGGCTTTCTAATGAAACTAAGTTCAATTCATTTGATTGAAAATTTTAAAAGTCATGAAGGTTTGAAAAGCGAGTGTCGCATTGCCACCTATTTGCTCGCCAAATATAGCATAGTATAAATAAATGTCATTGACATGAGATAGGCGAAAAGCTATGATTTTTCTTGAATTTCGTGTGATATCATACCTATTCCAGAGCTCAAATAGTTACTTGATTGATTTCCATGTGTGAAAAATTGAGAAATTACGCGAGTTTCGTCTCANCGAATAATGTCAATAATCAGGGATTTAAATCGCCTATCCCGGTCTGGAGATGCGAAGGGAGTATGCGTTGCCTCAAGGTGGCTTGCGACCCTCTGTGCGACGCATGTGAGAGGCGACGAGATGACAGGTGACGAGGGTCGAGGCACCCCAACCTGCCAAATAGTGCTAATTATTCCGATTTTCCAGCGCTCTTCGTATCTGGGACAGACTATACGCGAGTTTCGTCTCAATATTGCAAGAAATTTGCGATCTTTCCGACGGATTCCGATAAATTAGAAGGAATTGCGGGTATTTCGTCACGATATTGCAAGAATTATACGATTTTTGGGGAGATTTTGATTAAAAAATGAGAAATTACACGATAATCACTGCAATATCGTTGCAGATACGAGATTTTTCCGGCAATTTCGTGAATTCGTTAAAAATTACGCGTAATTCATCTCAATACCGTGGCACAATCGCAAATTTTCCAGCAATTCATTAAGATCACGAAAGATCACACAATTCTCACCTCAATATCAGGGCCAGACTCACCTACTTGCCGCCCATGGGCCGCCTATACTTTGCCGCCCATGGGCCGCCTATATTTTGCCGCCCCCTTCTCATTCGTTTTGAAACTCGATAAAAACCATCAAATGAACGTGCCAGCGGGGGAGGGGTGCATAAGGCGCATTTACTCGTGTTGAACACATTTTTTGGGAAAGCCCTGTCAACACTATACTAGCAAAAGTTCACGAAACTTTGCGCGAAAGTTAAGTTCCGTAAACCTATCTCTGTGTAGACAAGGCCTTCCATTCACACGGAAAAAAATGACTGTGCGCGGATAACCATCTTGGTTTTGTTAATTAAAAGTTGGTGCCGTATACATGAAAAAATTGATAGAATAACCAACGGCATTGTATGGTACACAACGTCTTTAGGGAAATCAATCATTTTCAATTAGTTGCTACTAGCTACTACAAATCTGTTCACCGAGACAAAATTTATGGTAAACTGCTCCATCAAGTTGACTCATTGCACCAAAGAGTGCGCTTGCACTTCACCTATCTTGTTTTTGGTTGATGCTACTCGGTTGAGTGGGCTCATTGAACTACAGAATGCGTTAGTGCAAATTATAAAATTGTTGATTATGAAGGTCACCATCTCAGATAATTCAATTAAAGTATTTTGTTAGTAGTCTGAACCGTCAATTTTTTACGCTTTACCAACATTGAGTCACCGAAGAAAGCAATCAGATATGGGCTGATTAGGGAAAGTATGTTGATAAATTTTCAAGAATTCATATTCAACCCACCTCGTGTGACTGATAAGCGTGTAATAATAGGTTCGTGGAGCGTACTCCTTTTCCCGTCCCTGGCTCGGGCGACGGTAAAGTCGCCGCAAAACTATATGACTTTGCGCAATTAATTATTCTTTACTCTGCTCGGTTTTAATGATAATTATTAAAGGACATTTATTATAACAATTCAGAAACTCGGACGATGTTAAATTTTTCACTGATTTAAAAAAAAACGGATTAAAACGAACTAAAATATTTATCAAAACCAAAAATTATTTCAGTCTAAAAGTAAAGTTTACCTCATATCGTAATTTTTGAGGGGAAAAATAAAACTAACACTGATAGGAGGTCAAAATAGGGCCGCGAAGCGACCCATTGATGGCGCGGCTTCAGGGGGTTGGACCGCGTAGCGGTCAGGGGGCATAGCCCCCTAGTATTTGACTATTTTCCCATAGCCATTTGACGACATATCGATTGCAGTGTTTGAAAATGTCTTTCCTCCCCCCTCCCCTTGGCACCAAGTTTTACGAGAATCCGACGAGCAGGAACCGAGATAGCGATTTGGGCCACGCCCGCCACCTTGGTTTTTCGACTTTTCGAAATTAGACTAAAAATTCGAATTTAATCGATAGAATGGGAGCCGAAGTATCAATTTAGGCTACGTCCGCCGTCTTAAATTTTCAAATTCAGAAAATTCAACTTGAAACGCATCATATCTAAAATTTAAGCTGCGGCCTCCTCGTGAAAAATCGATGCTATTTCATGTATCATATGTTACCATAGCATAAAGAAAAGAGGGTAATCGTAGGCGTAAAGATTCTATCAAAGCCGGCCGGTATGCGGAAGTAGGCACAGAATTCAAACGTTTGAGCTACGCCGCCAGACGCCGGCGTCAAGCATTTGGTTCGTCCGTTTCCGAGAAAACAAACTTCTTCTTACTCATCAGCTGACCCACTCCGAATCACCCATGTTGCCACGTCGGACT